TAAGTGGGGAGGGGGGGTGTATACTTTACTTTTACCTGTGGTTGTCGCTCTGTGTGCAGGTGTACAGACCACCTGACAGACGACTACAGCCGCAGCAAGTAGATGATTTGTTGGAGGAGATTGCTGCTGAGGTGGAGATAGACAGTCACCGGCCGAATCCGGCACAGGAAGTGGAAGCACGGCTCGCCCAGTTCCGCTCAGAATGTGGTTTGTTATTTTTTTTTTATGAATTAATAAAATTTCTCTTCTCTTGATCCTTGGGGGTAAATTCGGTTTACTTTTGTGTAACAAACATACATAAATATGGTGCATAAATCAACTGCTCGGTGTAGAACTCTGCCTTACGTCACTTATCAAAGTGGCATATGGCGGAGTCGTAAACTGATCGGTCAAAATAGATAAATACATACTGAAACATGTATACCATATGCACACCATTTCTGGTGGTCACTGCTCAGTGCCCGGTGTTAATGATGTAGCAAAATGAGATTTTTTATTGCACTCAGCTGTTTCAACATATCGAACAAGACCTCGATTTCTTCAACACTATGTGTTTCTGACTCCCCAACTTCTGGTGACTATAATTTTGGAATCAAAGAAGCAAGACTAATATTGTTTTCCCTCAGTTGAAGAGCTTGAATAGAGCTCTAATTTGATTGCTGCACAAACGACTTTTGGGCCACTTTTTTTCCTCCTCCTTTGTTTTATTGATTTTGTTCTGTGTTCTTGTTTCGATGCTTTTTAAGTTGTGTGCCGTTCATGATTGAGATTCCTAGTGTGGAAAGGTGGTGTTTGCCAGACCGTTGTATGTTTCTGGCTTTAGGCATATTCACACTGTCTTCTGAATCTAACATTGTCTCAATACCTGCCTTATAGTTATATATCAGCTGTTTGTCTGCCTGTGTGTCTGTCTCTTTACCTGTTCTGTATACCTGTCTTTCTATCCTTCTATATCTTTGTTTGGGAAGTAGCCTTTATGTCACTCCTTTTTTTCTGTGTTTGAAATTCTAATACATGGGTGGTTGACAGGTGCTCTCGGATGGGTGGTTGGCGGATGCTCTGGTGTGGTTTGCTCCTTCTGTCCTATCAAATATCTTTCGTCCTGATCTCTCCTCCTTGTTACTCTTTTGTAACAACTCTAATCTTCAGCACTTATATGACCTTATTGTGTTGCAAGTGCCGTAAAACTCCTACTTTAAAAAAAAAACCCAAAACAGGTGCTCTGATGCAGTTGGTCCCTTCTTTCCTTTCAAATATCTATCGTCCTTACTTCTCAATTTTTGTGTTTGTTACTTTCTTATGACACCTCTAATCTTCGGAACATGTGTAACCTAATCGTGTTGCAAGTGCTGAAGAATTCTTTTTTAAACAAACTTTTTACAAATTCTAAAACACATCATTTTCCAAACCAGGAGCGTCTAAACCTGCTGCGGATGCAAACAGTCAGAGTGAAGGAGGCAAATCCGGGGACCTTGGGAGCAACCTGAACAAAGCCAACGTGTCTGATGCCACCGCCAGCAAGTCTTTTTATAACAAAAATGTGGGCAACATTACAGGTACCAAGGTCTTACTTTATTAGTTTGAACAATGAGTCATATGCTGGAGAGATGTCACATTCAGAATTTTTAGGGGAGGTACCGGTAGATAACACATTTCATATCACACAGGGATTCTCTGTGCGCACTATTTGTATCTGGCCAGCCTCACATAAGGATTCCCTGTTTGAAGCCTTACCTCTGGGATATAATATTTTCTGGAAAACCTGTAAATTTATTTGGGTGGGGAAGATGGCTCTTGGTGGATTTACTTTGTATGGGATGAGTTAATACGGTTTTGCTCACTTTTATTTTGAGCAGAGTGACAGATATTTAATGTGAAATGAAACTTAACAGACTGTTTTGCTTTTTCTCTTGTGACTTTCGCACATCTTCGATGTGCAGGGGTAGACTCTGAGTTCCAACTTGGGACATACCTTTTGGTTTAAGTGACATTTAGAGCACCATCAATTTCTCCTACATGAAAGGGCTGTAACTATAAAACCCCTTTAAAACGTTTTCTGAATTTTTCTTCTAATTTTTAGTAATGTTTGTATCCTTTGCTGCAGCATAAAAGTCTGGCTGAGACTCCATTTACTTTAATTTTTCTGTCACTGCCATGCTTTTTTATAGCCAGCAAATTTCTGATCCAAAGAAAATTAATGTTCTCAGCTTCATCATGCTGGCAGGAAGTGTGTCACGATGCGGTCTCAGTTTAGGTTGATGATGTTTAGAAAAAGCAGATGTCAAAGATATGTACAATGTGGAAAGTTTGTGGTGATAGTGAGTCACCTTGGGTGGTGACTTATTCCGTTACAGTCCGTGCCTGCATAAAGCACGTTTTGGACTCAAGCACTCTAAACGGCTCTTACGAATTTTTGCTTAATCAATTACACGCTTATAAGCACAGTAACTTCGGCTTCAGACACGCTTCATTTACAAGACAGTCAATACTTTCATGATGACCCATCGAAGTTCAAACACAGTCTACAACGCAGCAGTGGAGTGTGTTAAGAGAAACACTAAGAACGCAAATGATAGAGACACACACTCACGCGCATGGACATAGGATCTAGCTTAGAGCAAAGCTACACACAGACAAAAAAATACGAGAAAGGGAGCTGGCTGCGATTTCACCTTTGACCATCGCTGTCCATTAATCATGATTGTGTATCACGTGCGAGGTGGGATGAAGGCGGTGGTATGAATGTGGCACAGCGGGGAATGGTACGCACAGGCAGTGTGTAGGCCTAGTGTGCTGTATCGTATCGTGACTGGCCGTCTAAATTAAGTTTTCATTTCCCTTTCGATCAGAAAACAAAAACAAACAAGCAAACAAAAACTACCATGGCGGGTAAGAATAACAGTGCACACTTTTGCGAGACCACTATAGGCCTACTTACAAACAAAAGGAAGTAGCACGGGAAATTTTCTACATGAAAATCTCTGGATTATGTCTACTTCGCACTCAAGCACGCTTCGGCTTTAAGCACGCTTAAGCTTTCTCCCGATGACCTTGTTTAAAGCCGGCATGGACTGTACTAAATTTTGTGGCAAGTGATTTTTTTTTTGTGTCGCTTGTTTGTGGGTTGCAAGTGTCATTATATGATGTGACTGTGTTGCAAGTACCGTAAAACTCTTACTGAGTGGGTAGTTGGCGGGTGCTCTGGTGTTGATTTCTCCTTCTTTTCTTTTAAACATCTGTTGTCCTTATCTCCCCTCCTTCTTTTTTGTGTTTGTTACTCTCGCGTAATACCTCTAATCTTTGTGGGTGGTTGGCGAGTGCTCTGGTGTGGTTTGCTTCTTCTTTCCAATCAAACATCTATCGTCTTTATCTCCCCTCCTTCTTTTTTGTCTTTGTTACTCTCTTGTAACACCTCTAGTCTTCAGCACTTATATGACCTTATTGTGTTGCGAGTGCCGTAAAACACTTAAACAAACACCTCTAATCTTAAGCACTTTTATGACCACAATGTGTTGCAAGTGCCACAGAACACTTACTAAAACTTTTTGAAAACTAAAACTTCAGGCCCATCTGCCAGCGGAGAGGAGATGGACATGGATGAGATGCAGAGGCTGATGGAGCAGGCTGCACGGGAGATGGAGCTGGACGCTCAGAAAGCCCTACAGGGTATGGAGAAGGACAAAGAGTTAATGGACAAACTCAGAGAAATACAAAAGAAAAAGGATGAAAAGAAGAATGCTGGTAAGGCCCCTATGGATATTGATTTCTCTCATTTTTTTCTCTGTTTTGACCCTAATTATTGGATATTTATCACACACACACACACACACACACTCAAGCGCCCACATGCACGCAAACACACTCACACACACACAGACAAATGCACACACGCGTGCGCGCACGCACACACACACATACACACACACACACACACAGTGTCACACACCCAGTCACACACACAAACACACACACAAACACACACACAAACACACACACATTTATCCTGTCTTGTTATGCTGTGCACAGGTCCTTTAAGGCTGAGGTGGCCACCGGTAGATGCAACTTCTTTTCTTTCCTTCTGTTGCTTCTCTCTATCGATTATGCTTTTTCTCTGCATTAAATGACTGTTATTATGTCAGTGTGCTTCTCCTTACCAAAATAAACATTTCTAACGGAGAGACAGAGACTTGTGGAAGGATATGCAAGTATGACTTCTTCTTAACACTTATCACACATCAACTCTTCTACTCCAAAGTGTGTAGCATATTTATTTCTGAAAGTATTGAAGTGCAGACATGTTTTAACTCACTGGAGCCTGAGCTATTTTTCACTCTAAAACCATTGCAGCCTGATAGTTTTTGAGTATATTGAATTGTTAACCACAAAAAGACTGAAAACTATAAATTTTTTTGTGCAACAAAAGAAAGAGAGAAATGCTCTTGCAGAAAAACAAAACTGCATCTAATTTGTCTGAATAGTTTTTATTTTATCAATATTTTGAAATGGGAATGTCTGGGGGTTGCGCAATGTTTTTTTGGACCCAATTAGTTATAAAATCATCTATCACCATGCAGGGCTGACTGACGTAGTCCATTACAGCTCAAAAAGTATCACTCGTAACTTCACCAAATTTTTATCGAAACGAAACAAGTGGGTCAACTGTTGGCTCGTCGCTTCCTGTAGCTTGTAACCGAAAAACACCAGAGATATCGATCAATATATCGCATCCGATAGTTGCACTGGGTTCAACCAACTGGGTAGTGGCCCATCCCGTAAATACACGGGAATAGGCTCAAGTGAGTTAAGAGAATCATTTGAAATTAATTTTGGGTCTGTATTGTTGGTGGAATAAGCAGTAGATTTCCTTATGTTTGTTTGCGAGGGGGGGGGGGGAGTGTTGGTGATGATGGCTTATAGGCCTACCTCCAACAATTTCATTTGTAATTTTTGTATTTTGTAAAACAGACCCCGGATCAAATGGATCAGAAGTCGACAACACAGCCCAAGCTGCGTCACTGGCTGCAGCTGCAGTGACCGAAGACGATGATTCCGATGATGAAGAAGATGAGGATGCCGCTGCTAAAAAAATTATTCAAAGATATTTTGAGGAAGTTAAAATAGATGAAAGTGTTGGTGACGATATCCCTGCAAAAGGATCCAAGTCCAGTGGGAAACAGGGAGCGGCGAAGAAAAATAAAAAGTCAGCAACACCTGCAAATGATGATCTCAAGCCTTCTAACATTAAGGTAACAGTAGCAGATGGGTGGGGGGCACCACTGGTCTGTCCTTCTTTCTTTCCCTCTGTAGTTTCTGCCTGTCTGTTTTCACTTTTTCCCTGCACTATATGATTGTTATTGCATTGATGTGCTTCTCTTTATTCAAACAAACTAACAAGGTAACAGATAGAGTGAAGGAAACTTTGATGAAGATCACATTGTGCAATTTTCAGACATATCCCCTTTCCACAGTAGAAAGAAGATGTAGGCCTACAACTGATATGAATCTGATGGATTGTTCGATCACATTGATGTACTGTTGTTATGAATGGGATGATTTATCCAATCACATTGATGTACTGTTATGAATGGGATGATTGTACAGTCTCATTGATGTACTATTATGAGTGGGATGATTGTACAGTCTCATTGATGTACTATTTCAGTGCTTCCACTCTTTCGTATTTTTACGGAAATCCGTACTTTCTGTTAGTTCCGTACTTGCTCCTCCATCATTATCAACTCCCTCCGTAAAAGTTTGCGGCAGCGTAGGACTACCGAAATTCCATAGCAAAAGGTCCGTACTCGCCTTCGTATCGTCTTGTATAAGTTACGGATATTTACGGTAATTTTCTCGGCAAAAAGTTAATGTTATAGAGACCTGCCAGATTGCGCATTTCCTGCAATCGGCCATTATTCCGCTATGCCCCTTGCATTCATTGCGGGGTGGCCGGCAGTACATTTTTTACTTGCAGATTGATCAAAATCTGGCGAACTTTTTGTGCCACTTTCCTCCTTTCTATCATTCACTCATTCCTTCCGTCTATCATCAGATTGTTGCCGCGGCTGGAAAATCTGCGCGTTGATCAAGACTGATTTTGATCTTAGACAGAAAATTACTGTCAGAAAGAAACTTGTTTGCAATTTTATTGTCTAAATCTAGAGAAATTATCAGTGCGAAGATTCTACGGCACGGGAACACGATAAGGGCCGTGATGAAAGAAATTTGTGCTAAAACTACTAAAATCAAGAATAATTCGAAGTGGTGTTCCGAGGTTGCGACATTCAGACGTGAAAATTAGGGTAGGCCTATACGCTGAGTAACTGTATTGTGAAGGTACATATCTATTCATTGTTCCCAGATTTGCCTTCTATCAATGGTGCAATGACAAATTAATAGAGTTATAGTAGCAATGGAAGGGGCACCTGCTTTTAAACATTGCCAGCAAAGGAAAGATATGTTGGTGAAGAAATCAAACAAGACAAAATCTTAGTGAAAAAAATAAGTAGTGTGGGTAGTTGTTGGTAATCTCTTCAAACAGGCTCCCAAATGCCATTTTCAACCCTCAAAAAGTACTAAATTTCAATTTCTTCGGGGGGCTTCGCCCCGTGAACCCCCACCGGGACACTGGACCCAGACCCCCGGCAGAATTTTCCTTACTTTTCAGCTTCAGCTGGTGGAAGCACTATTATGAATGGGATGATTTTTTCAGTGAAATCGATGTCTTTTAAACCACTTCTCATTCAGAGTTGTTTTTACCCACCTGTCTGCTGACGTGGTGCTGTCCTGGCCTTTTGATATTTTTAAAGATTCTCTTCTGTTCGATAATGTAGAGTAGAGAGTCAATGGCTCTCATATGACCTTATGCAGTTGCGAGCGCCGTAAAACCCTCTACTATAATAAAATAATAAATAAGAGAGTCAATGAGCGAACCTTACGGCAACAAATGAACCTAAGTCCCTCCAGGTGGGGTTGCAAGTTATTTTGCAGGTGGTTGGAGAACGCCACTTGTAGATCTTACTTCTTTTTCTTTATCCCTGTTGTTTCTTTCTATCTGTCTGTCTGTCTGTCTGTCTTCCTTTTTGTTAGTATGCTTCTTATTACTCAAACAAACAAACACAATAAAACAATTTCAGAGGATGTATCTCTGTATTTACCTAATAACATTAGCTTGTAGCCATCTCACTAATTCTTATTACAGCAGTGAAATTTAGTGAAATAGCAATCAAATCATCACATCGAGAGGAAAGTGTATTTTATCGCAGTATGATATATTTATCTTGGAGGAGTAAACGATAGCCTGGTGAAAAAGGGGAAAAAATTTAGCTTCCAGTATTGATTGATTCTTATGCATTTATTTTAAAAAAGGAGAATAGAATAGACAGACTGATAGAATCTTATTATCTTCATTGTCAGCTCATAGCCACACTTTAAACTTTCAAGCTTACTAACATTTTTGTGTTTCAGTCTGTCCAATTTCTAAAATTTCTAAAAACCTGCTTTTCAATTAGAAAAATTTAACAGCTCACAGCCACACAGCAATGACACAAAAGTATCCTGAAAGTGTATTAAACACAGTAGAAGCTGGTTTCAGACTATGAATTATAGAGGGGATGTTGAGGGGTAATATGGTACATAACACTCCCAGGTTTACAGGATGGAGACAGGGGCTACTTTGCTGTAAAATCCATTCATTAAATCTTTTCAAATTGTACCCTATCCTGCGGAGCAGCCTGATTAAAAGGTGTAACATGCCATGATTTATTACCAGCTTGCAGAGTCAGAAAGATCAGACAATTTACAACTAAGTATACCTCTGGGAGGGTGAAACTGAACAGTTTTAGGTAACATCTTTTGTAAACTTTTTTTGGTAAATATCTTGTCTTTTCATAAACATCTAGCCGCCGACCAAAGAGGAACTGGTTGACAGCGACTATGACGACAGTGACGAGCTGCCGTACTGTTGTATCTGCAACGAGGATGCAGTGACTAGATGCAAGGACTGTGACCTTGACCTCTACTGTCAGCGCTGCTTCAGGTTTGCTTTAATTGACCTTTTCACATCTGAACAGAACATTACAGGCTATATCTGTACGTTCTTATTTTACATTAGTAAAATCTGCGGTGTTTAAGGGTTGAGGCTTTAGTGTGCTTTTGTCAATTCCTCAACAAGTGAAATTTTCATGATTTAATGTTCTCTTTCTAATGGATGTGCCGCATGATAACTTACTAAATGGTTAGAGCTCCATAGTAAAAGAGAGAGCTTGAGTCTTACCTTGTTAGTACGGTTGACTTATATTGTGTGGAGCATAAGCTTCACTACCCACAGGTCTGAAATTAATGAGGAAAAGCTCATGACACTGTACCAAATATGATGTTTTAGTTTCTGAATAGGGCTGATGCCACCCAAAAAAGTACAGTCAGACACAGATAACACGAACACTGAAAACTTGAAATCATGGATAGTTCATACAATTTGCCATTCCTTGACTAATTTTTCTTTAGTTTGTCGTTATCTGTTAACCTGAGTTATATGGATGTGTAGAACACGTTTGTCAATCCTCGAGGTGTTTGAGTCATCCGTGCCCAGCTGTATGACCAGTGGCGGCTTGTGGTTTATAGAACTGAGCGGCCATCATTCACATAGACTCTTTCTTCCTCCCCCACCCCCTTCCTTCACAACACACAAACACACACACACACACACACACACACTCTCTCTCTCTCTCTCTCTCTCTCTCTCTCTCTCTCTCTCTCTCTCTCTCTCTCTCTCTCTCTCT